ATTCATAAAAACCTTCATCAAATAGGGATGAATTCATGGGTTTTTACGCCAAAACCACTTCTTAATGAATCCCAACGTGAAAAACAATTGTTATAGTGTATGGAATGACAAAATTGGTCAGTTAGACAGTGGAAAACTGTCATCTGGAGTGATGAGTCCAGATTTACCATTTTTAAAAATGATGGTCCTGTTCGTGTTTGGCAAAAAGATGGAACCCGATATAATATTGAGAATTTAACACCAATGGTTAAACATGACGGCGGAGGTATTATGGTATGGGGATGTTTTTTAGGAAAAGAATTTGGACCATTGGTAAAAGTAGATGGTAAAATGAATAGATTTGGTTACATTGATATTTTAGAAAAAAATTTATTATCATTCATCAAATCTAAACATCATAAACAGCCTTATGCATTTCAGGATGATAATGCTCCTGTTCATACCACGAAGGATGTCAAAAATTGGATTATACAGAAAAAGATTAAGATTCTTCTAGATTGGCCTTCACAATCTCCAGATCTTAATCCTATTGAACATTTGTGGCATAAACTAGAACGGAGACTTCGAAAACGACCAGGGTATCCAAAAAATTTAAATGAACTTAAAAAAGCATTGCAAAAAGAATGGAAAAAAATTCCATCCGAAACTTATATTAATTTAATTGAAAGCATGCCACGTCGGATAAAAGCATGTATTGAAAATCAAGGATGGCCAACTAAATATTAAAAATTTATAAAATAAATAATATTTAAATTGATCAACCGGATACTTTTTAGGGTAGTGTATATATGCGAAATGATCGAAATAATAAAATAAAAACAACTATTACTGCCTCTGCCGACGCTCTGTAATAGGCCTAAAGAGAAAAGAAAGCTACAGTATCTAATTCTAATCTAAAATAAAAGACAAAAAACCCTTTTATAATAAATTTCCTTTCCATGGCTTAGTTATAGAATTCTTGGCAGGATTACTAATTCTTGTGGCTTGGCTGACGATAATGCTTATTAATTGTTTTCGTTATGTCAATAAAAACGTTCGAGGAGTTCTAACCTATTGAAAAGTCCGAAAAGTATTTCAGAAACGACAGTAAATTGATCGTCAAGACTGCGGCAATCCAATTTTTAGGCGCAGTTAACTTCCGAGAGTGACACTTGTCAAATATACTGTATAAATTAATGACAACAAATCAAATTAATCATGGAAAGATTTAATTTAATTATTCTCGGCAAATTTTATTGGTAAATTCATTAAGATGCGGATTTGACTAGGTGTAGTGTAACGAAAAAATGAAGTTATGTATAAAACGCCATAGAGAAATATGATTTATCATCGATATAGGGGGTTCATTTATAAATTATAATCTAAAACATTTAGGGATGAATAAATAAAATATTTTGTTAAACGTATTATGACGCAAAATAATTGTATCATAAAAGTTACGATTTTGCTACAATATTTAATACGTTACTAAATTTTTATTTATAAAATATTTGGTCATGCATGCAGAGAAACTTTCTAATGTAACAGAGATTAATATAAAAAAAAATGTTAGTGCTTCCAATATTATTTAAGCAAGGAAAAATTTAAGGCCGAAATTGAAAAATGATTGGCTCTGAAAATAAAAATATCCGAATTTTTTTTGTTTAACAATAATTTTGTCGGAAAGTCCGAAACATTTTCAATTGACTTTTAAAAAAATATACTGTTAAATTAAAGCCGAATTTTTTGTAATTGTCGAATAAAATTTAATAAACGGATTAAAATTAGAATTAATATTTTTAGATTTCCGTTTTTCTTGTTAATTTTCGTTTATAATTGACGAAATTTTGTACAACGAGACGAAAATTTATTTGTACTTCAACGAAACATCATAATTTACACATCAACATTATATCCTATCATGATTGACCCCGAATAATTTAGTAGCTGAAACTCAGTCAGACAGAGCAAAGGAATAAAAGCGTAAATGTATTTATTAATTAACGATAACAAGTTATAAATTATTTTGGGTTCTAATAGGTTCTTGAGCTGTACTTTAAAATTTATTACATGAAATTCTGTATGATTATTATTATAAATCAAATTTTATAAAGTTTTGATTGGCTATAATTAATTATGTTATTGTCACGTATTCATTGGTGAAAAATTAATAATAATTGCCCCGTGTAAAGTAGTAAAACCAAATATTTTACAGGTATCTATAACAAAATAAACAATTATTTTATTATATCGAACATCACTTTTTATTCATGACTAGTTATATTTTTATGGATATTGTACGATGCGTTATTTATTTCTAGTTAGTAATGATTTTTTCAAGTAAAACTTTCTCTTTTAATTTAAAGGAGGAAAATCATCAAATTTTCAGGCAGCATAAGACTACTCCGGTTAATCAAATGAACCATACCAAAACTTTATTTCAATATTTTGTTGCCGTGTGTGCAGTTGCCTTTTCTTCAACTCTACATTTATTATTTTCCTTAATTTCTTTTGTTTACTAACGCTAAGGTTATTATCAAACAAATCCGCGCGAAAAAAATAATAGGATGTATATTAAGTATTTATTTTCATTATAAAATGGGTATCCAAGCAAAATTTTAGTTTAAAAATTCTTCCGTGGCAGGATTACAATAAAAAGAAACTATTGATGTTTGCTTTATTCTACTGTAGTGGTCAATTCTCAACTTCTAAATTCAATTCCTTATATTTTTTGATAATTTTTTTAATTAAATATTTAACTAACTGTAGTGAACAATAAAAATGAGTAAATTACTTTAAAAAGTCAATTTTTTCATATAAGCTATTGCAACAAATCAATACTATTGATAAATCTTTTTGAATAATAACTCTTTAGTTATTAAATAACGGAAATTTAGAAAGGCTAATATGAAATTAAGATAGAAAATAAATTATTTTCTATGTTATACGATAATTAGCTATTAATTTCAATATTGTACGATCAATGCAAATAAAGTATATTACAAAAAAATATAGGTAGGTCAATCAAACTCAGAATGATCCTATAAGGCCGTGCATTATTTTAACTATTGTCTTATCGGACAATCGATATTTTGATGATTTTGCTCATTAAAATGAGTTGAATAAAGTATTCTATACAATTTGTCGTGACAGTAATTGGAATTGACTTTTAAGAAGAAAATTTATTTACTTTGATTATATTTTATCAAAAATCCCTTAGCAATATAGAGATTTTATTATTTAATATGACAAAGAATAAAAGAAGAAGAAATTCACCTACGATATCAATTAAAATCTTTGATCGAAATAAACTCTATCGAGACAATTTTTTTATTCTCGAACTCCCTAGTACAGGATTATATGTAGTGTACCAATTTATCTAAAAAAAAAGGAAATTTTTATTTAACACACAATTTTTGCCAATAATAAATCGTGAAACAAACCAATCATTATATGCACATAAATAGATATAAAATAAAATAAAATATCAAACTAATTTGATTATACTATTGGATTTTTAGATTCAAAACAAAAACCCGAGTATGATATATTCGGTCTTAATTTTCAGCTATTTAATGCAACTTTGAGAGATTCGCCATTTAACCATTTAACCGAAACTTAAAAAAAAGTATAAAAATGTTAGATCCGAGAACAAAAAAAATAAATGAAATTATAAAATAGGTAACATATTGTTTAAATATTTGGTTTTGGGCGTTTATTTATTTATTTAAATTATTATAATTCTGAAACCCTTATTTTCTTATTGAGTTGAACTTAAGAGGCAGGATATGATCAGATACTTAATGATTTTTTTTTAAAAAAGAAACGCCAATAATCTATTATTATTATACTTACTTACGTCAAAGAACCCTGCATATTTGTTGATGTTAATTTATCTATCATTGTTATTATGGCTATTAACTGATATTATCTAGATTAGTTATCTATACCTTAATTCTACTTGTTGGAAATGTTGTATAACAAAAGGTATTTGTATTTTTATTGGCTAAAAAAAAGTGCACAAGTGTATCTAAAAATCTAAAAAGCGTTAACTACTTAGAAGAGATCGTTTTAATGGTTTCGTCAAGAAAGCTAACGTAAAACATACTTAACAAAAATTTTATATTGACTAATCTTTATTGATATCATAAAATGTACAAACTTATGAAACAAGTTTATTCATTGAATAAGTCATAAACGGCTTTTTTATTTATTTATTGTTTAGAATCGAAATAATTTAATTATGACCCGCGTTATCATCTTTTTTTTTTAAAAAAATCAAGATTCGCGAAGAACTTTCTAATTAAGATTTATCGTATCTTGAAATACAACATCAATAAGACGCGTACCAGCTTTCAATTCATATACAAAAAAAGAAATGAAAATAGTATTGTTTTTATAATTTAGCAAATTAATAGAACTTAAATTGGCAAACGAACAAAGAAGAAAATAATTTGTTTTGAATGGCTAAGTCAAAGGTAACGGAATAAATTATAGTTTTTTTCCCTTTCCTATGATATCGTTTAAGCTTTTTAAATGGATGGACACATAAATAAGATTTTTAAGGATTATTAACACAATCGTATTGATCCTTAAATTACAGTAACTGTAAGGGGTTAATAAACTACGCCAGAAAATAAGTCACCATTCAAATTTATCAAATGACCCAATTTTACCAAAAATAATTCTACGGGACCTTTTGTCTGACTTATTTGGAAAATAAAAAATTTAACCGCTCGCTGAAGTCCGGCCTCTTTCACATTTTAAGAGTACAAGTGTTCCATTTATATTATCTAATGCTGTATTAACTTATCAACGATTACAAACTTACTTTATAATTCCAGAAAGCAATTTCATTATAAAAAAATAAGGTTATCTGATTTCTTCCGTTAAAAAAATGACGGTAACCCACGCGCGGTATCATTCTTTTCTTATAAAATCTTGCCACAATTGACAAAATCGTTTGTTTATTCATCGAATATTCGGTCCTTTTGCACAATAATCTTTTTTTTAAAAAAAAAATGTCTTCTAAACGCAAAAATTATGAGCATAAATCGCGTATGTCACAATATGTACAAAAAATTAATTTAAATAATACTAATAGAAAGACAAGAAAGAAACCTCCAAAGCTTTGTCCAGAATGTAAAGAAACAAATAATTGTGTTAAAACATTTGCCGGTAAAATTAATAAAATTGAAGAAGTTGTTGATAATTATTACAAAAACACTCCAAAGAAGAATACCGTAAAGTTTTCTATGTTCAATGCTAAATTTACAATCAATGAAGTTCCATGCGAAATTGAATATGATTTATCATGTTTCACTTTTGATGAATTGCAAAATTTAGTAAAATTAACCACCAATGATTTTAATAAAAACAAAATTTCTAATAAAAATGATTAAAAATTGGCTGATGACTAGATACTCTAATGGCAAATTATCTGAAATTTAGACACATTTTTCGTTTTTCGTTTATATATATTAGCGGAATTATCGTTATTGTGATGTTTTTATAGTTAGATTAGTTTTATTTTTTATTTACGATGTATTTTTTTCGTTTATATTATATTAAGAATTTAAAATTAAGATTGATCATCACCATATTATGTAAGATTTTTTTTTTAAGAATTTTATATGCGTTTCTTTGTTTCATGCATATTACAGTATATATATAAAAAAAGCAACAACACATGAAATATAATTTATAAAAAAGTTCAAAATAAAAGCACAAAAAAAAATTGCAATAATCTTTTTTAATTGTTCGTGATATTCTTACACATTATCCTTTAACTTTTGTAAGATTTTCACATCTTTATTGAATTTAATCAAACACGTGTAAAAGTGAACAAGTTCTTTCTACCCAAACCAAATTTGATATAAAAGATTACACAACATCTTTTCTTTAGTTTTACGTCGCAAGGTTCCGTCGTTACATTGATCTTTATCTTGTAAAAAAGGTCATTCCATTTTTGCTAAAAGTGTCGCTCGCGCCCGAGGTTGTAATTATTCACAAATGGAAGTTTTGAAAGCAAAATGCTAATTATCTTTGAGAAAGTAGAATAATTAGATTTTTTGTATCATTGAATAAAAAACTTTTAGTTATTTCATAATTTATGCACGTAATACAGAATATATTCTATGGCGTTAGAGTTACCAAAAGATGGAAATGATGAAATTTTTTAATTAAGTCTAATAAAATTTTATAAAAGGATCAGCCTTTTTTTTTACTTTATAAAATTCAGACACGGTAGATATTCAAGATCGATCATAAAAAGCATTTTTTTTTTTGGTTAAGAAGGCTTCATTATTAATCATCTTACTAAGATGATCTATTCGATTAGGCGATTAGATTTAACCCAAATTAGACGAATAGTCTTTCATAAATTATGTCATTGGGGTTTGTAAAATCACATTATGGGCTCTCATGACAATTTTCATATTTCCTAAAAACATTTGATTTTAAACCGTTGCCCCAAAATAATCGTTTATAAATTTACAACATGCCACTTAAATGCTCGGCGGTCATATGATTTGAAAAGAATCACGTAATTAATTTTCACTAAATTTTAAAAAAAAAACTTTATTTAATTATAGTAACAAAAAATTTAATATATCTTTTTAAATTGATCATATTAACTAAGAACATTATTTTAAATTAATTCATTGGTATTTCACAAAATTTCGTACAAAGAAAGTATTTACAAAGGGAAAATTCTTTATATAGGTATTAAATTGTTCGAATTTTGAATTATACAAATAATTAATTATTGAATTATCGTGAATTTATAATATCATTTTTTCTCTTATTTAAAAAATGGTTATTCTCTGAAGTTGATAATTTTTTATCTTTGTTATAAAAACATTTCGCGCATATCAATACTATTATGAGATAAATTTACCAAATGAGAAATCTTATCAATGTGTTGCGTTTCAAAATAAAATAACAATAATTATAAGACACTGATTCTCATTTTATCTCTTAACCCGCAAAGACACCATTATAACCCTTGAATCAAGCAAAAGGCACTGTAATGTAATTGTTAGAAACCTTAGGTAATACCATTTACAATATCATGCGAACGTTCTTATTCAAAACAGATTCTGGCTGCGTTCCAGGAACGTATATTCTTTAAAAAGGTGTAAAAAATTTCCTGTAATTTTTTATTTTGATTGTTTAAAAATTTATGATTTGTAAAAATGTTTAATTCTTATTTTTTCTCTACCAAATATTTTTTAAAAAAAAAAATTTCGTTTCACGATGACGACCAGAAACTTTTAGCAACAAATGCGGTAAGGCACCATCACATTATTTAAAAATGCATAATTTAAGATATAATAATGAAATAAATATCTTGTCCTGAACGAATAATCACAAGTAATTGTGTAAAACTGCTCACTAGTAAATTAAAGAAATTAGTGATACTATCTACAAAAATAAACTTCCAAAAAAGAATTATAAACTTCTTAATCAAAATATTGTCAAAATTAACTTTGGAATAATTAAACAAATTGGCGTGTCGTGTTCTACAGCACGAATTTCAATAATATGATGTGCCTATGACAACCATGTAAATTTTAATATTAATGTTTTTGAGCAAGGTTTTTCAAAATATACTTTAGAGTACTTACAAAACTTAGCTAATTATTCAACTCAAGATTGTCAACAACTGCAAAATTTCAATAAATAACTCAATCGCGAATTTAAGAATTTCTACTATTTCTTTTGATTTATGAATCCAAATAACTTTTAATAGAACGCCTAGTTTTAACATCCTACAAGTAGGAAAAAAAATCATTTGTAAAATTAAAATTAAAATATAATATATTAAAAAATATATATAAGAATTGATTTTTGCTTTAGGTCTATAAACAATAAAAGGGTATTTTTTGATTCGCAACATCTGTAAAGTCGTTTATAGTAAATTGAAACATTTGGGAATTAAGGAAGCAATCAATAGAAGTCTCGGGAACATTTAGACCGTTAAATAATTGAAATCCAATGCCTAAATCAATGTTAAATTAATATTAATTATTGAATGAATAAATGGATAGCAACATCTTTGGTTAACATTGTAAAAATTTATAAAGATCGACTTCGCACTCTCGAAAATGAAGCAAATAAGATCAAGCATAAATAAATTTCACTGCGCTTTATGTTAAAATAAATAAACTAAATAAGAATTTTCGTTGCATCACAAATCATTGTATCCCCATAAAAAATTTTCCGAAAACATATTTTATTTTCCTAAATTAGATAAATATGATGGTATGATGTTTATACGAGATTATCGAGATTATCAATCTTAAATGCATGCAGATAATTCTTTACCTATAAACAAAGAAATATCCGGACCCAAAAATATTTCGTAACTTTATTCTGAAAATTATTTATGTTCACCTGCAGCTGCAAGAGTTATATCATGAAACTCGTCATATTATTGAAGTAATGCGACACAAATTTATATATAATAACTGATTCCCTTTTTAGATAAAAAAAAAAGATAAAATGATTGATATACCATAAATAGGAAATTTTATCATAATCATATTAATTATAAGCAATAATTAGTGAATCTCTGCATAGAAAGACAAGGAAAACAAAACGCCAAATTTAGTATGTACAGCCTTCATTTATATAATTAATACGAAGATAATCATACTAACAAATTTGGGTATAAATTAAAAATTCTCTGTTTTAGGAAATTAAAAGTTACCAGAGAAATGAATAAATTTAAGATCCACTAAAAAATAATTTCCTCTTTAAATTGGAAAATTTTGAGAAAGAATTCATAAATTTAGAATCATTTTACCAAAATCATCTTCTTCCTTTAATATTACACCGTAATTTATTCTCAAGTAAGTTTGATCTGATCTGTCGATTCTTGATGTCCGGTCCGCGTTATTCATAATTTTTTTAGATCTATTCAGCTTTATTTAATCAAAATGCTATTTATAAGTTTTCTAAAAAAAAAATAATATAATACAACGTTAATTAAGATTATTCACTTTATTTTCTGAAAAAAAAAAACACAAAAGCTCGCATTTATCTAATGAATCTCAAATTATAAATGTCGCTTATATTTTAAATAAATATTCGAAGTTATTATTAAAAAAAATTACACTTTAGACTAATTAGTAACGTATATTAAATTGAGAACGAGTGAAAATTGTAACATCTATATAATAATGTTCGGTATAAGTATTTAGATAAGCAAGTTATACCATTACCATGAATTACATGGAATCATTAGTTATATTTAGTAACTGAATTAGAAAATTGTGTCGTGTTAAGTAGTAGGATGAGATAGGTATAAAATGCATAGATACTGATATGAAATCAGATTCAGAAAAATTATTGGCTGCTTGTTTTAAAATAAAAACAAAAAATTATTATTTAACTGCATTTATGTCTGACTTTAAGACAAATGAATAACTTGATTATTGTTTGATTTATTAAAAATATTTAGCATTAAATGTTTAATAACAATTTAAGGTTTTATGCCACTTGTATTTACCCCAAGTTATGGCTATATGGAATTACAGTTAAAATTCGAGTTTAATGCTATTCTATGCAATGGAACATCTATGCATGACCTTAATAAATTTATTGTAAATTTAAATAATTATACAATGCAGAACGTTTATTAATTATTCTCATGTTTTGCTTCAACAGTCTATTTATATTTTCTAATTGCTCTTGTATCATGACCTTAGAAAAGTCAAATTAATTGTAAATTTGTACTCTTGAACCAAACTACCAACGTCTATAACAACCCGAAAATAATCTATGAGAAAGCCATGATGTTTGTGGGTGGTGAAATATTTCGTCTTTTATAATATTACAATTACAAAATATACAATCATCTTTTGTATATTACAAAAAATCCATATAATTATATAAATTTACACCTACCTGCCAAAAGTACTTATTTGGACTCTTTATGACGAATGCGTCGAATGGTAGTAAAATCATCAATTTGTCCTTTTTCAGAGTAAAAATGGCTCTTGGACGTTAAGAGGTGGAATTTCGCTTGGACATGTTACAAAATAATAATATTAGATAAATTAGATAATAGTAAGTTAATACCTTTTTCCTCCGCATTTATTGTAACGTTAACGAAATTTTAAATAAAATACTTCTGATCGTATAGAGCCGATGATTGTGGTAATACCTTACTTACGTAATTTTATTTGTATTTCATTTAATAAATAAAATTCAGTTATAAACCATGAACCTTCTTCTTACCTTTACTTTCGATTTCAACCTAAGAACTATGCATAACGTTATTTCTTATTAACAATTCATCTACGGTACTATAAGCGTGAATTTACTATTGTATATTCGACGCGTATCGTCATGACGAATCAATAAAGCTGTGCATCGTCTTTTATGATCGCTGGTT